CATGAATAATGGTATTGAAACGGGAGGGTCGAACATGGTGTAGATACATATTCAAAAAGTTCCAGCCCTCTAGCTTTTCTGGTTCCCGAGCTGAAAGTGGGTGACAGAAAGTGCAAACACACAGACACAAATACATACACGGCCTCTTGACAATATGGGTTTTTTCATTTGCATATACGCAAAAATGCGTAAAAATTAAAATAACTGGCCAACGTACGGGTTGCTCGTGCGAAGAGCGTTTTTTGCACAACTCCTCGCAGTTTTTGTAGCTATCGACCCCGGTTTTTCCGGCAGATGCTTTCAGCTAAACAAATTAAGACTGCGGCCGGAACTGTCAGGAAACACCCCCCTTAAAATTTCAGCTTTCTAGCTTTCCCGGCTCCCCAATTAACAACTTACCTGAAAAAATTTATGAGCCCGTATGTGGGTACCACGCATACTCGATCTCTGGATTTGAACTCATTAACACCCACATGAATGGGGAACAAATTCCAGCCTTTTAACTTTTCAGTTCCCCAACTTAACAACTTACCCGGAAGCTTTGGCGGTACCGTACGTAGGCACCACGCACACCCGGGGAGTGAAGCTCATTAAGACTTACGTGGACGGGGGACATCCTCTTAAAATTCCAGTCTTCTAGCTGCGCAGGTTCCCTAGCAACTTACCCGAAAAAGATTTTCACGAGACCGCATGTGGATACCACGCATACCCGGGGACCGGGTTTGAACTCATTAATACTTGCTCGGACGGGGGACGTCTTCTTAAAATTTCAGCTTTCCAGCTTCTCTGGTTTTCGAGTTAGCAGCTTGCCTGTACAAAACTTTAGCGAGCCCGTACTTGGGTACCACGCGCGTAAGAGCACCCATTTTGAGAATGGGGGCCCGTGCATGCATGTAGATTAAGTTTCCAAAATTTCAGTCCGTCGCTTTTGTAGGCCTTGAGATGAAAAACCGGTACAGACGAACACACAAACACACACACGCAGACAACCCCTCGTCAATATACGTTTTTTGCATTGCATAGTTGCAAAAAACGCATTAAAGGTGACGATATCTGAGCAGGAAGGTCACTTTGCAGCACAGGAAAGATAAGGGGTTCATCATGAACTCTGCTATTTCAACATGCCTCTTTTTCACAGAATCAATCAAATGTTCGTTTTCGAGAATCAATTTCTGGTTTAAATGTTTTGGAAAAACATACCCCAGTCGCCCATTTTGCTCGATTGACCACTTCGAATCCTCTGTCGCGCTTTTATAAAATTTTCACTGAAAAAAAAAGATCGCTTGTTCAGAATGGAACTGTGCAAAACTATTTGCGCAAATTGGTTTGATACAGACGCACACGCATAATTAAAATCACATAATTAAAATTCTAAAGTGCAATCAGTTTTGCATAAATGAATACTTCCGAGGCATAAAAAACCCTTTTGGAGAAGAAAACTTTTTAAAAGCAACATTTACTAAAAAGCATCGTTTAATAACAAAGCAAACGGACCAAACAAATACGCGCACAAATGTAAATTGAACAAAACTTCTGAAAAATACATTTCATAATTACATGAAAGCATAAGCTGATACAGTGCGAGAAGCTTTTAATCGTTTTCCAAGCGCAGACAGACGTGCAAGTTGGTTTGGTCACTTCAGAACTAGCAGATGTTGGGATTAAGCAATATTTGCGTATCAAAAGACAAGCTTACTTTTAGACGCAATACTGGACTTTTGAAAATCTAACACCGCTTGGACATCAAACAGCCGAAAAGGCCCTCCCGTTGTTTCAAGACGACTAGCAAGTCCTGAAAGCAACCAAGG